GGATAAGAGAACATATTTATAACATTAGAAAAGGATTAGAAAGTCATAGTGTCTCAGAACATTTTAAGAAAGTAAGTACATGGACAGGATCCACGGGGACTAGAGTTCATAGGCATTAAGAAGGTACAGCGGGACTGGAGGGGAGGTGATTTTATTTTACCACAACCACTGTTTGGTTTTAAAGTATTTATAATAATTCCACCCTGTAAACACCTCATTTTATGTACACAAGGTTACTTTCCCTCTCTAGAAGAGGTCCATAGTGAATACGATTTTTATTTCTTTGTTGTTGCGCACCATCACTACTGTAAGTTACAGTGTGTACTTTGCCATAGTCCCCTCTCAGTTCCAATGGGGAATGCCTCTGGAATATGTCATGGTAAACCCCTTGCATGGAGACTTGCATATAAACCGGCCAGTTGACCTGAATAAATTCATTCCTGTTGTACCCTTCATCTAGTTTAGGCTGATGTTTGGGTATACGTCAGCTTGCTTAGAGAATTTACTTGGATATTGCATTTTAATCAACACCCGAACTGCGAGCTATAAACACTCAGCCTCTAGCAGTTTGGGAGGAACCGAAAGCGAACGGGTATCTGAAATACCAGCGTTCGTAACACCAAGGCTTTATTCCATGTATGTAATTGTGTATTTTCCTCTTGTATTTTAATCAAGGTGTTACCTTGTCTTGTCAATGTTTCTGATAAGGTAATCACTTTTTTCTTAAGTTTTGTTCTTTGAGATTCAAAATCTGTTCTAATCTTGTTATAAAAATCTTCAAATGTTTCTACCAGAAATTGTTGAGTTAAGGGTAGAAAATTAGTATTTAAACTTGAAATTGTAGAGTTGTCCATATTTGTAGCATTTATATTAAATTGTTGGATTCCATTAGATTTTCTTCTGACAGCAGTATTAGAAGACGTTTTCATAGATGTGGAATTTCTCTTCTCTCAGGTATCTGGAGGATTTGTTTTAGGAGAGTAAAAATTGCTAATCGGCTCAGCTGAGTTTTTTTTCTTATCCTTTTTAGGAGCCGTTTTTTAAGAAAAGAAGAAAAGTAACAAAAACAAAAAAAAAACGTTTCTTTTTTCTTTCTGTTTCCCCTTTCCTTCTGTACTCTTAAGATTTAGTGTGTGGGTGATATCTTAGAAACGTTTATCTTAATTTTCTTTCTTTTTTCCTCTTTAATATTTTCCCCCTTTAAGGTAACTAAATGGCTTAAAAGCCAATTTTATAGCAGATTGCTCAATGTAAATTTGTCTTTTGGTATTCAATTACCATAAGATAATTATATAGTAGTGATATTTCTAATGTTATAAACAGAAATGGTTAGTATTTACCTTGATTTTTCAAGAATGCTGCCACCCTTATACTTAATCATAGAGGCTACTCCAGGTCCTTTTACACAGGGAATAGATATTCACTTCTCCTCTGATCCTGCTGATTGTTTCCTCCGGCTCCTTTTTATATGAGGGAACTGATGGGTGTCACGTCTGTGAATGTTGTGAGTCAGCAAGTTATATTCTCCGGTTCCTTGTTGTGTGGGGAAACTGATAATACCAACTCCTCTGTGCCTCGTTCAAGCAATCTGTTGTATTTGTTCTTCCTGCTGTTAAGTGCTTGTCAGACCCAGTGTCGGGTTTTCGTTAGACGCTAAGGCTTAGGGGCTTGGACGACAAATCTCCATGCCACCAAGAAATTCTCAATGTAGCCTTCAAAAATCTGGATATTAGGGGATGGTATGCCCATAAAATGTTATAGGGGGCTTACAGAGCCAAACACTGGACTTTTAGTGGGCTTGGGCTAAGGCCTTTGTCGAGACCAGCCTGTAAAAATTCCACAATATGTAGATGAGATGGCTTTTCAGAGTTAATAGAATTTGTTTTTGCCCAGTTCTTAAATGTGTTCCAAACTTGATAATAAAATGAAGAGGTGGAGGGTTTTCTTGACATGAGAAGGGTGGTAATAACAGAATCTGACAGACCTTGATTGATGAGGAATTCCCTTTCAAAAGCCATGCCCCCAGGTAGCAATTGGAGGGGTTAGGGTGGGCTGTTGGACCCTGAATTAGAAGGTCTGTTACCTCTGGTAGTGTTCAAGGAGGAGCATGAGACATCTTTAGGAGGAGAGAATACCATGGCCTCTTGGCCAGAAGGGAATGATCACAATAACTTTCTTTACTTCCAATTTTTTCCCCAGGATTCTGGGAATTAGAGGCAGGGGAGGGAACACAAACCCCAGATCAAATTGCCAGATTTGAGACAGGGCATCTTGTCCTAGGGCTTGAGGATCTGCTTTCAGGGAGTAGAACCAAGCAACCTGGGAGTTCTTGCCGTTGGCCATGACATCGATCTGAGGTATCCCCCACCTTTATGTCAAGGATTTGAAATTAGGGGTTCAAGCTCAATTAACCCGTAGAATGTGATATAATCCGCTAGGTCATTTTCTGGTCTGGGTAAGTAAATGGCCTTTGGACCTTTTAAATGTTGTTGAGCCCAGAACATTAGAGGAATGAGTTCTTGGAGGAGTCGATTGCTTTTTGAGCCTCCTTGATGGATTACATATGCTACCACCACCCTGTTGTCTGTCCTGATTAGTATCCAAGGGCTCTGGATGACATGTTTTACTTTCCTGATGGCTTAAGAGATAGCTATTAACTCCATTAGGTTCGAATGTACTGTTCTCTCTGCTGGATTCCAGGATCCCTGAATCCACCTTGTTTTTGTGGGAGCTCCCCATCCTGTCAAACTGGCGTCCGTGGTAATGGTTTTCCACGATGGATCTTCTAGAGGGTGTTACGGTACCTCCAGGAACAAAATGTACAAACCGCCGTTTAGCGAGTATTCCCTGTTCGCAATAATGTGGTCGGGTAGCGGGTATAATAAAACCAGGCAAACCGCCAGCCAGGGAACACTCCAAACTCCCGAACGGTACCTGTACGGCTAATTCCCTTCGCAAGCCGCAAATCCACGAACGGCAATTAATAACCGAACGACAATATCTCCCAAGCGGCAAATAATCCAAGTAAGCAGTCTCTCGCCGCTGGTATCCGCTTTGAGGGTAAAACACGAACTGGTTTACTGTGGGCTACCTGCCCGGTATTTATGCAGGTCTCCCACTTGGTGGACACTCCCCTAGGGGACCAAATGGGAGACTGAAATCACAGAGGGACATGGGGACATTCTGGACATACATCCCCACAATATTCCCAGCATGCAGTACAGTTCCCTCTGCTCGGGGAATAATTGGGAAGTAATTTAATTATCTCCCCGAGCAGAGGCAATCGCCATTTTAGATACAAGTTACAAAAACACACAAAAATCCATAACTTAATAACTGCTGAACATTTTACATCAGTCTTGCATATCCTCAGATAGCCTGGATCTGAGGGCACATTATTGGAGAATAGCGCTCAGATCCCATTCGCACAGTTCAATCGCCATGGAGTCAAAGTCTCTTTCAGTTCTTCGGTATGCGATTGACTCCATGGCACGGCTATCTGGGTTAAGTCCATTCGTGTGGTTGAATCTCCCGAACGGCTGTCGTTCGCATGCTTTTGTCGATTGAGAAGGGGAGGTCGACGGCTTCAGCGGTGTTCGGCTGAAAAAGTGTCCGTTTTCCGATCCATGAAATAATCGCTGAACACCGCTGGTTGTTCGCATGGACAAAATGGCCGCCGCCTCGTGGTCGACATACGAACGACGACCACCCGGCATTCGGTTTTTAATTGAGAAGTGTCTGTGGTTAACCGCAACGTTCTAATTGGGATCAATAGGTTAACCAGCAGCCCACTTCCCTTCTGGGTGGCCGTCCGTTCGGTAGTTCCGTTCGACAAAATCGACATTCCCTTAAACAAAGCATACGAACGGGGAAATTCATGAAAACGGCAAAACAGACGAACAACGCAGTTATAATCCAGACAGATGGGTCTGTCACAGAGGGTAGCCCCAGAGAAGATACTTTTGTTATAGCCACCAGTTGTTTTTTCACCTGATGAGGAATGTAAATGGATTGGTTCCAGTTGGGTCTCTTGTTGGTGAACTGGTTCAGGAAGTTCTTCTGAATAAGTCTGGAGTTCCATTGTGACCAGCGAACAAGACCGATTGTGGACGTCAGAGAACCCAGCATGATCCTTTAGATTGATTATGAGTCTCCAATTTCAGTTGGATTTTGGGGCCAAAAATACATTAATGTTGTGACAGAACCATCTGCCTGTCTATTGTGGTGGATTTGTCTATTTCTGCCCCCTTTCGTGTAAATGGCTGTTTCTACAGCCCAGCCATACGAATGACTGTTTTTTCCCGAACAAACCTACCGAACGGACGGCCACCCAAGAGAGAAGTGTGCTGCTGGTTAACCTATTGATCCCAATTAGAACGTTGTGGTTAACCGCAGACACTTCTCAATTAAACGAATTCAGGGTGGTCGTCGTTCGTATGTCGACCACGAGGCAGCGGCCATTTTAAACCACGCGAAAGCCCAGCGGTGTTTGACTCTATTTCTATGGAACTAGAAATGGACACTTTTTCTGCCGAACACCGCTGAAACAACGGAATGCCTGGCTGCTTCCACGAAAGCATACGAATACCAGCCGTTCGGGAGGTTTGAAGCATACGAAAGGACTTAACCCAGATAGCCTTCCCATGGAGTCATTTGTATACTGAAGGACTGTAAGAACTTTGACTCCATGGCGATTGAACTATGTGTGTGGGATCTGAGCGCTATTCGCTAATAATATGCACTCAGATCCAGGCTATCTGGGGATATGTGATACGAATGGGAAATGCTCGGTTATTTTAAAGTTATGTATTTTTAAGTCTTTTATGATTTTATATTTAAAATGGCGACTGGCTTTGTCCTGGAGATAATTGAGTTACTTGGTAATTATCTCCAGGGCAGAGGGGAGGGAATCATAGTGCATTGTGGGTAAAAACTGTGTCTGTGTGTCTGGAATGTCCCCATATCTGTCTGTCATTTAAGTCTCCTATTTGATCCCCTAGGGGAGTGTCCACCAAGTGGGAGACCTGCATAAATATGGGCAGGTAGCCCACAGTAAAGCCAGATCCTGTTTGGCCCTCAATGCGGAGCTTCTGTCTCGTTATTGGGGGGATTTATTATTTGCGCTTAGAGACTGCTGGATGGAACCGAAAGCCGATTGGTGGATATTATTGTTCGGCGGCTAGCAGCTGTTCGTGGAGTTCCGTTCGGGAGGTTGGAGCCTTTCACTGATCCCGGTCGGGAGATTGCCGCTTCCCCTGAGTTTGGTTCGAGCACTACGGTTATGCGAACGAAGATTATTGGTACTGCAGCAGGGGAAGGTCGACTAAACGGCGGCTTTATTTAAAGACACAAGGGGTGTCTTAACAATTGGTGGCGAGCGACGGGATGAATCCCACAGCACTGGAGGTCAGCTACAAGACATGCAGTACGAGGAATTAAGGCGGGCTACCCTTAAGGATATATTGGAACACCGAGGAAGGTCAGCAAGCAATTTAAAAAAGAGAGAAATTATTGCTTTACTACTGGAGATGGATGCAGCACCGGGAATGGAGAGAGCTAATGTGCCCAGTATTTTGGAGTTAACACCCGAGGAAATACAATTTAACCGGGCAGTGCAAATAAGGCTGGCACATTTTGCCCCCAACCCCTCAGCTGACATCTTGGAGCGTGTGCAGGCAGCAGTAATAGCACACCTGGCGCTCCGGGAAAGAGGAGCTGCAGCAGCAGAGGTACCCAATAACAATTTTGCTAGAAAAAAGGTACCCTTTGCTGCATTTAAAAATTTTGTTGAAACAGAGGGAGAGATTGATGGGTTCCTGGCAGACTTCAAGAGGCAGTGTGCCCTACACCAGGTACCCGCAGATGAATGGGTCACCATCCTCCCTGGGAAATTATCCGGCCGGGCTAGTGAAGCGTTTCGGGCCATCCCAGAGGAGGAGATCACCAGCTACTGGGCTGTGAATGATGCACTCCTAGCCAGGTATGCGGTGACCCCAGAAGCTTACAGACGGCGATTTAGAGAAACCAACAAGCAGGTTGGTGACTCTTATGTGGAGTGGACCTGCAGAGTTCATCATACCGCAGCCCACTGGATGGCAGGATGCCAAGCGGTAACTGGGGAGGAGATGCTACAAGTGTTCTTGCTGGAGCACTGCTTTGATAGACTACCTGCTGGGGTCCGGGAGTGGGTCAGAGATAGAAAACCCTCTACCCTACCCGAGGCTGCTCATCTGGCAGACGAATACACGGACGCCCGCAAGTTGCATAGTACAGCTGCCAAAGTCCCTGCCAGACTGGAGTATCGGCCAGCAGTAACACCAGCTCCTTCAGCCTACCAACCCCCAGTACACCGCACCCCAGCCGTACCGCCAGCTAATAACTATGTACAACCCTCTCGGTTCAATGCCAGGGACTATTCGCAACCAATCCGGTTCTTTGGGTGCAAACAGTTGGGGCACAAGCGACCGGAATGTCCTCTGAACAGCGCCAATCAGGCCCAGTCGTGGAGGAGACCAGCCAGCGGGAACCAGCGGCCACCTCAACCTGCAGCTCACTGTATTGAGCAGGAGGAGTTCTGGGGCATTCTACACGAGGCCGACCCAGTGCAAGCAGCTCATCAGGATAATCGCCAGCAACATCGGCAAACTGTGAAGCTGAATGGCAGAGTGGTAAATGGGCTAAGAGACACAGGAGCCACTATGACACTGCTCCAAAAGAACTTGGTCTCGAAGCACCAGCACACTAGGGACACTGTGGCGGTGAGGGTAGCAGGGGGTGCGGTGTTTCGTTTACCTGTTGCCCGGGTACATTTGGATTGGGGAGTGGGCATTAGACACATGGATGTGGGGGTTATTAAAGACCTGCCCGCTGATGTCCTCCTTGGGAATGATTTGGCCCCGTTGGTTTCAGCCTATGCCCCGATGGGCCCTGCGGACGTTAACCCAGTGACTACTCGTGCCCAGACCCGTGCTGCTGGAACCGGCCCACCTGCTGATGAGACCCATGGGTAAGAAAGCGGGGGGACCACCCTAAGGCTAGGCTATTATCGATGCCTATTATAGGGGAGCCCTTTGCCCGCATAGCTGTTGACACTGTGGGTCCACTGGCCAGGGCTAGTCCATCAGGTAAGAAATACGTTCTTACCGTGGTGGACTATGCCACACGCTTTCCAGAGGCAGTAGCGCTGTCTAATATAGAGGCAGAGACGGTTGCTGATGCCCTGGTTAGAATTTTTACTAGGGTCGGGTTCCCTAAGGAGATCCTCTCCGACCAGGGAACCCAATTCACCTAGCAGCTGTGGAGGGTGTGTGGCATTAAGCCATTACTTAGCTCACCCTACCACTCACAGACTAACGGTCTCTGCGAGCGCTTTAACGGCACCCTCAAACAGATGCTGAGGACCTTTACAGATACTTGCAGAGACTGGGAGAGGTTCCTGCCTCATCTGTTATTTTCTTACAGAGAGGTGCCCCAGGAATCCACTGGGTTCTCCCCCTTTGAGCTGCTGTATGGGAGAAGGGTCCGCGGACCCCTAGATCTCATTCGAGGCCACTGGGAGGGGGAGACGGAGCAGGAGAACATAGTGCCATATGTTCTGGAACTCCAGGACCGCATGGAGAAACTGTCCCTGATGGTAAGGGAGAATCTCCAGACGGCCCAGGGGAGACAGAAGATATGGTACGATCAGGGTGCCCAACAGCGGGTCTTCCAGGTTGGGCAAAAGGTATTGGTGCTCAAACCCGTGAAGGCCAACAAGATGCAATCATCTTGGCAGTGCCCGTACAAGGTAGTGGCGCAGATCTGTGATACTACTTACTTGATAGCTAGCTGTGCAGATGAGAGGGTCCAGCGATCCTTCCATGTAAACATGCTGAAAGAGTACCAGGAAAGACCTGAGAACATTGCAGCGGTATGTGCCCCAGCTGCAGATGATTCTGAGAATCTACCCCTTCCAGATTTATTAGAAAGGGATTCCCAGACTGACCTTACTACCCTTGTACAGCTAGGGGACAGGTTGAACCCAACAGAAAGGGTACAGGCGCAGCAGTTGTTGTGGGAGAAGCAGTCGACGTTCTCCCATGAACCAGGTTATACCACCCTAGCTGTACATAAGGTAGAGACCCCGGGACAGACCACCTTACGACAGCCCCCCTATCGTATCCCTGAAGCAGTCCGTGAAGGAATGCGGAAGGAGATACAGGAGATGACCCAGCTTGGGGTCATCGAGTACTCCGACAGCCCTTGGGCTTCGCCTGTAGTCCTGGTGCCCAAGAAAGATGGGACCACCCGGTTCTGTGTGGACTACAGGCGGCTCAACGAGCGGACCACCACTGACGCCTACCCAATGCCCAGGGTAGACGAATTACTGGATCGTATTGCCAGGGGGCGCTATCTGACCACCATAGACCTGTGTAAGGGCTACTGGCAGATCCCCCTGGCCGAGGATGCTATCCCCAAGTCAGGATTTGTCACCCTATTTGGCCTGTACCAATTCAAGGTCATGCCTTTTGGGATGAAAAATGCACCGGCTACCTTCCAACAGATGGTGGATAGACTCCTGGATGGCTTCCAAGAATTTGCCTGTGCATACTTGGACGACATTGCGATTTACAGTGGGTGCTGGGAGGAACACCTGGTACATGTAGGGGTAGTGCTGGATAAAATTCGGGCCGCTGGCCTGACATTGAAGCCAGAGAAGTGCCATCTAGGTATGGCTGAAGTACAGTACCTGGGTCACAGAGTGGGGTGTGGGAGCCAGAGACCAGAGCCAGCCAAGGTAGAGGCGGTGGTTAACTGGCCCACACCTACCACTAAGACCCAGGTATTGGCCTTTTTGGGGACGGCAGGGTACTACAGACATTTTGTCCCTGACTACAGCACTATTGCTAAGCCCCTGACAGACCTGACTAAGAAGAACTTGCCTAAGCAGGTCCTGTGGTCTCCGGCTTGTGAAGCTGCGTTCCAGGCACTAAAACACGCTCTTGTGAATGCCCCTGTCTTGGCTTCCCCAGTCCCTAACAAACGCTTTCTCGTCCACACAGATGCTTCCATGTATGGACTGGGGGCTGTGCTGAGCCAAGTCGGGGAAGATGGAGGAGAGCACCCTGTCGCATATTTCAGCAGAAAGTTGTTACCCAGAGAAGTGAGTTATGCGGCAGTGGAGAAGGAGTGCTTGGCCTTGGTCTGGGCATTGAAAAAGTTAAGTCCCTATTTGTATGGGCAAGAGTTTTCCCTGGTGACGGATCATAACCCACTCATTTGGCTTAACCGGGTCTCAGGAGACAATGGGAGACTACTAAGAAGAAGCTTGGCATTGCAGCCCTACAATTTTACCATCAGCTACAGACCCGGTAAGCTGAACGGGAATGCAGATGGGTTATCCAGACAAACTGACATCTCCACCACCTCCTAGTCCGGTCATCCCCAAGTTGACCCGCCACAGGGTCAAGCCAGGTCTGCCGGAGTGTCCCACAAGGAGGGAGCCGTGTGACAGAACCATCTGCCTGTCTATTGTGGTGGATTTGTCTATTTCTGCCCCCTTTTGTGTAAATGGCTGTTTCTATAGCCCAGCCATACGAATGACTGTTTTTTCCCGAACAAACCTACCGAACGGACGGCCACCCTAGAGAGAAGTGTGCTGCTGGTTAACCTATTGATCCCAATTAGAACGTTGTGGTTAACCGCAGACACTTCTCAATTAAACGAATTCAGGGTGGTCGTCGTTCGTATGTCGACCACAAGGCAGCAGCTATTTTAAACCACGCGAAAGCCCAGCAGTGTTTGGCTCTATTTCTATGGAACTAAAAACGGACACTTTTTCTGCCAAACACCGCTGAAACAACGGAACGCCTGGCTGCCTCCACGAAAGCACACGAATACCGGCCGTTCGGGAGGTTTGAAGCATACGAAAGGACTTAACCCAGATAGCCTTCCCATGGAGTCATTCGTATACCGAAGGACTGTAAGAACTTTGACTCCATGGCGATTGAACTATGTGTGTGGGATCTGAGCGCTATTCGCTAATAATATGCACTCAGATCCAGGCTATCTGGGGATATGTGATACGAATGGGAAATGTTCGGTTATTTTAAAGTTATGTATTTTTATGTCTTTTATGATTTTATATTTAAAATGGCGACTGGCTTTGTCCTGGAGATAATTGAGTTACTTGGTAATTATCTCCAGGGCAGAGGGGAGGGAATCATAGTGCATTGTGGGTAAAAACTGTGTCTGTATGTCTGGAATGTCCCCATATCTGTCTGTCATTTAAGTCTCCCATTTGGTCCCCTAGGGGTGTGTCCACCAAGTGGGAGACCTGCATAAATACGGGCAGGTAGCCCACAGTAAAGCCAGATCCAGTTTGACCCTCAATGTGGAGCTTCTGTCTCGTTATTGGGGGGATTTATTATTTGCGCTTAGAGACTGCTGGATGGAACCGAAAGCCGATTGGTGGATATTATTGTTCGGCGGCTAGCAGCTGTTCGTGGAGTTCCATTCGGGAGGTTGGAGCCTTTCACTGATCCCGGTCGGGAAATTGCCGCTTCCCCTGAGTTTGGTTCGTGCTCTACGGTTATGCGAACTGAGATTATTGGTACTGCAGCAGGGGAAGGTCGACTAAACGGCGGCTTTATTTAAGGGGTGTCTTAACAGAAGTATAGTCCTCTGACTCTTTCTGGATAAGGAACTTCTTCTATTACTCCCATTTGAAGAAGCTTGGAGATGTTTCTTGACATGGCTTGTCCTTTTCTTCCTATTTGAACCAAAGGCATTTGAAAACATTGATCTTTGGGAAGGTCTTGAATTCTATTGATTTCCTATACCTTTCTGACTGGGCCATCGCAGCTTTTAGAAGTATTGCAGGTTCCCCTTTCTCTATTGGTTTTGGTATTGGAGGAAGATGACTGAAATGTTCTCCAGGATGAATTTCTAGAGTATTCTTTCCTAGGACGGTAGGATCTGTTTTCTCGAAAGATTCGGTCTCTAAACTTCTTGTCTTTCCAAGATGATGAGTAAGATGATATTTTACCTTGAAGAAGGAACACTTTTTTGCTGTCAGCTGCCTTTTGAATAGCTCCAACAGCTCAATCCCCATGCAAGGGACACGCCCACAGGGACCTTGTGGGGAACTGATTTCCAACTTCACAGACCAATAGCAATAGGGTTACAACGCACAACACTCCCACACACAGCACACAATCCCTCCCCTCTGCCTGGGTGATAAATCAGATACTATATTAACCCAATTATCTCCTGGCAGATAAAACACACATTTCTAGAAAGTCCCAAAAGTACCCAAAACACATAATATCCCCACAAATACATCCACTGAGAGCCCTGATCTGGGTGACCAATATATCCAAAAATCACTCAGATCAGTTCAAGGGTTCAGGAATTGTATGGAAGTCACATATTTGACCAACTGCAGGCATGGTCCCATGCCCAAAACAGTTCCAGAGAATAAAGGCTTGCGGCTGGTCTAGTTCGGTAGTTTAAAAATGAACAAACTACCGAACAGAGTCTTACCCTGGAGCTTGTTCCTTTCATCCAGACAAATGATCTCACCGAACAGTGCCCTTCTAAGTTGAATAGAACCGAATGCAGGTGATATGGAAGTCCAGCGGTGTTCGGGAGTTTCTGTATTCGATTTTAGTTTCAGGAGTTTCATGCCCAAACACCACTGTCTGCATTCATGCGAACAAATTGGCCGCCACCTCATCCAACGTGAGTCCCAAGACACTCAACTCCATCCTTGTGGCTTCTTCTCCAAAAAGCTATCCCCAACAGAGGCCAATTATGATATAGGGAACAAGGAATTATTAGCGATAATCCTGGCTTTGAAAGAGTGGAGACACTTGGTAGAGGGAGCTAAAGTTCCAGTAATGATTATAACAGACCACAAGAATTTGGCCTATATTAGTGAGGCTAAACGTCTCTCGTCTAGACAGGCTAGATGTTCCTTGTTTCTTTCTCGTTTTAATTTTATTATCACTTCTAGGCCTGGTTCTCGTAATACTAAGGCTGATGCCTTATGACGACAGTTCGAAACCAACTCGTTCCTATCATAGCACCAGAACACATAGTGGCTACCACTATATTAACCATGTCCTCCTCATTGATGGACAAGGTGCATAATACCTAAACCCAGGCTCCTGACAACAAACCTAATGATAAATTGTTTGTGTCACCTACAGAGAGGACAGAAATACTCTCCTTGTACCATGATACCAAGTCAGCCGGCCATCCAGGAATTCGAAAAACATTGTCCTCCATATCTAGACAGTTCTGGTGGCCTGCTATGCATACGGATGTCACTGATTGTACCGTTTGCACTATGACCAAAACCCCTCGTAAACTACCATGTGGTCTCTTACAGCCACTTCCTGTTCCTGAAAAACCTTGGTCCCACATTGCTATGGACCTTATAGTTGATCTACCACCATCCAAGGGGCATACTACCATTTTAACGGTGGTAGATCGTTTCTCGAAAATGGTCCACTTAATTCCTCTCTGTAAACTGCCTACCTCTGCTGAGTTAAACCAGATCTTCATTAAGGAAATATATAGGTTACATGGGTTGCCTCACACAATCATGACAACTGGTATGACCTCTTGCCTTATGCTGAATTCGCACATAATAACGCTACTTACGACTCCTCCCAGCATAGTCCTTTCTTCGTTACAAGTGGTAGACACCCCCTTGTTATACCTTTGCAGTTTCATGAGACAGGATTACCCGCTCTTGATTGCCACCTTCATGATCTTCAACAGCACGTACAGCATGCTTTCTCTTTGGCTTCCTCTCGTCATAAGACCTATGTTGACAAACGTTGATCTATGGCACCTAATTATGTTATTGGGGACAGGGTCTGGCTTTCCACTCGCAACATCAGGTTGAAGGTTCCGACCATGAAGTTGGCGCCCAGGTTCATCGGCCCATATGTAATCTCCAGGAAAATTAATCCTGTGTCTTATGCTTTGGCAGAAAGAGGAATAAGGGCTGCGCCAATTATAATATAAGGAGCTAAAAAACAATGTAGGGAGGTAAAAAACAATAAACAGGTGTATACACAGTGTAGGAGAATAATAGTATTGGTATAGAAGCCCATCATTACTGCACAGAATGTTCCCAACGATATCTCCAACGTGCTGGAGATGCTTGACGGAGCAGGGCACCATGATACATATATGGTGGGATTGCAGAAAAATTTTCTGTTACTGGGTTATGGTCCGATCTACCATACGGGACATCCTAGGGGATGCGGCCGAATGGACAGTCGAATTAGCCATGCTACACATATCACCAATGTCGATTTCCCAATATAAACGCTCGATCCTGCGACACCTCCTGAATGCGACCAAAGCGCTTATTCCAGTATACTAGAAAACACCGGTCACACCGCAAAGGGAGGAGTGGTTGCGTAGGGTGGAGGAGATACAGGGGGCGGAGGCGATACATGCATCCCTCACAGGTAGGACAGCCAAGCATGCGGAAGCTTGGATGCTGTGGTTCGCGTATATTTCGGGGGGCCTGTAGGCGGGGGGTGGCCGGGGGGATTGTTCTGGGGCGCAACAGAGTGGGGTGTCTATCTGGATACACCCCTCTCAGTCAATCTTTCCTTTTCTCCCTCTCTCCCACGTCTGATCTACCCTTTCACTACTCTGCACTCCGCACTGATTAGACATCTATTATATCTTGTCATCATACTTGGATACTATATCTCCGTGACTCTATAAGTGTGGACGCATATACAATACCACGCACGACACATGCACACTCTCACCGAGACCACACAATAATGATGCCGGTACGCTGCATCGCGACCCTTGACGGAAAACTATATTAGGAGACAGGGACTAGGAGAACGGTAGAACGCAAATCTATGCTTATCTCGCTATCATCAGATACGGGGCGGTAACTCCCGCACAAGGCTAGGCAAGCAGACGGTATCACGTGACATACAATACAATAGTCACTGCCACCAACTGTAGCTTGTACAGACTATGACTAATCAGCTGACACTCATAATGCAGCCACAAGCGACATCTGATAAAAGACATACACACAAGTACACTGGGAGCTAGCTTTGAACATGGCTACGGAACAAGGACATGTGCCTCCTAATTGGACCTGCGAGTCCGCCAGACACCTGTCTTGCCTACTCTGTACTGTCTAATTCTCCAATACGCATTACGCTCTAAAGGGCGGCCTATAGTTACGCACACTGAAGACAGACGGAGAAGGATAGTTTTGTATTATGTAATGTGCTAGTTATATGCCGATAGACTGACCATTTAACTGCCGATGTAAATGACAGTACTATGTTATGATCGTGTTCAGGGCCGGACTGGGGAAAAAATTAGGCCCGGGCATTTTTCAATCAGAGCGGCCCCCTAAGAAGGGGGCGGGGCCAGAGAGGGTGTGTTTTGTCATCACTAATGACAAGCACGCCCCCTCTCAAAGTGAGCATGTTGGTTCAATGCACAGAGCCCTGCTGAAGAGCTCTGACATTAGAAAAAGGCCCTGAATTTGTTCTGCGCAGCGCAAGCAAATTTAATAACATGCTTGCGCTGTGTTTGCTTTTAAATTGTCTCTGGTGTCTCAACAAGTGGGATACCAGAGGACAAAAAGGCCAGGAAAGTGTATGGTGCATGTGTTTGGAGCCTGCTTGTGGGATTGCGTGTGTGTAGAGTGTGGTGTGGTATTGTGTAAATAGGTCAATTTCATATGTGTTTGTGGTGTAATATGTGTGGCTAGGGGCTGTAGAGAGTGTGTGTATAGGTGGCATAGTGTTATAGGGGATGTAGCGAGTGTGTGCATACGGGCTGTAGTGTGTGTGTAAAGGTGATGTAGTGTGTGTAGGGGTTGTAGAGAGGGTGTGTTTAGAGAAAGTTGTATGTGTTTGCTGACAAGGAATGTAGTGTGTGTGTAGGTGATGCAGTGTGTGTGTAGGAGATCTAGTGTGTAAAGGACCCAGAGTGTGTATAGGAGATTGTGTGTGTGTGTGTGTATAGAGGATTAAGAGTGCATATAAGGTAAGGGATCTAGCGTGTATCTGGAGCGTAATGTATGTAGTGCTGTAGTGTGTGTGTGTGTGTGTGTGTGTGTATATATATATATATATATATATATATATATATACATATTGTACACACACAGGGGTGCACAGTGTGTGTATGTAAGAGGGGTGCTGTGTGTGAGGGTGTTTTTATCTGCTGTCAAATTCTAGGTTTCTAATTTTCTTTGTCTGTTAACTCACTGAGGGTTATTTTATATATTATATATATATATATATCTGTAAATATATATATATATATATATATATATATGTGTGTTTGTGTGTGTGAGCGAGGGTGCTGTGTGTGAGTGAGGGTGCTGTGTGCCTGAGTGCGCTGTGTGTGTCTGGGTGCGCTGTGTGTGTCTGGGGGTGCTGTGTGTGTCTGGGGGTGCTGTGTGTCTCTGGGGGTGCTGTGTGTCTCTGGGTGCTGTGTGTCTGGGGGTGCTGTGTGTCTGGGGGTGCTGTGTG